AGGGGACCCAGCTCCAGCAGGGGACTGTGGTCTGTAGGCCTTTTGTCCTTCAGATATCATCTTTGGGTTCACACAGAACCCAAAGGAAGGAAATTGGCCCTTTCCCTCCCATGGCTCCATTTAAGATCCCAGGGTGCTGGACCAAATTGATTCTGGGCTGGTAGGACATAGTGCTTCTAAGCCAGGGCTGAAGGGACGGCTGATGGCTACAGGAGGGATGCTTTGCATGGATCGTCCAAGTCAGAGGCAGCAAACTTTTCCTGTAAAGGGCCAGATGGTAATTAAATAAACTCCCACAAATATTTATAGTGAAATTCAAAACATAGCTAATAGTCAAGGTCTGTGATTGAGAAAAGTGGGATTGTTTTGAGAGCTGAGATAACGTTTTCCTCAGCAGGGTGAGCCAGAGTGAGCTTTTCCTCGCCCATTATCACATCCAACCGGACATGTCGACCCATCAAAACCATTAAGTTGTGACCAAAGAAGAGGTGGGGCATCTTTGGCTTGTGGCTCATGGGTTTCCCACCCCTAAGCCAGACCAGTTCCTTAGACAGACGGTGGAAGCTGCCCCTCCACCCAGCCTGTCATCAGGATGAAGGTACCTGTCTACCAGGGTGGTGGGACCCAAGAGAAGGTGGACTGATGTACCCTCCACAGAGAAGGCAGTGTGTGCCAGGGGATGCTGGTACTGAGCTATGGAACAAGGAGGGCCAGGCCGCCTGGGTGGTTTTCCTGGCTCTGGGACAGGCCCCTCCAGTGCACAGAGGGACTTTCAGGGGCAGAGGAAGAAGAGCTTGATGACATTCTAGCACCATCAGGAAGCCTATAGGAAGGCAGCGAGGCCTTCGGGAGTGAACTGTCAGTGTTTGTCCTTTCAATTGAATCCCCTGCAGCTTGGGGCAACCAGGTGTGAAAACACAGCGAATGGGGATGTGGGCATCTTTCTAGTGGTAGGTTAGCCATGACCCGTACCCTCAGCTCCCTTTCCCGGCTCACCATCTCCAGTTACCCACTCCAACAGTTATTTATTTTCCTTGGAAATATTTGAGACACATCCCTACAGTCTTGTTTGTGCAATAAATTTAATCTGTTAAGCTTGTTTTACAAACGAGAGGTCAGTTTGAGTCCGGCCCCCTCTGAGTTTATAGGGTTTGGCCAGACATGAGCTGCACACCAGGCCAGCCCTCTCTGTACGTCTTTATTGACTGACTTTTATAGCTCTTCGTACTTGCAGTTTGCCCACACACTTTGGTGTAGATTTTCTGCCTTTTCCTTCCAGGTTTGAGTAGTTGTGGAAGGAGGGGTGTTGGGAGGTGAGTTCCAGTTAGAGGCCTCAGCCACATTGCAGTACATTTGGTGTCTGGAGACCACCGAAAGCAGTGTTATTGTTCTCGCTTTGAGGTTTTGGCAAAGCTTTTTATAAGTCATATAAATATAAGACTTTTTTTTTGTCTTAATCATGTTAATGTCTCCTGACTGGTTTAATCTTGATGGTCTATAAATACACTCAGCATGGAGGGTGCATTTTTGAGTAGGGAAGGAATTACTTTTCCCTCGTGTGGCTTTTAATTATAATTACCTCTGCTACCAATCGCCACACTCACCTTCACTCCAGTCTCTGCTGAATAGACAGGGAAAAGCAGCAGCTAGCGTTTGTTTATCTACTCATTCCTGAGGCAGGAAACAGCTTCCCTTCAACAATAGGGACAGGACTCAGATGGAGGCGTATTTTTATAAGACTTCTGTGCTGGCCTTGATAGGAAAGGGCTGTGCTCTCCAGAGCACTATGTGGGATGCTGTCCAAGCTCAGCTAGTTCCAGAGTGCCAGCCCCTGGCACCTCAGTAGACCACCACTGCCAACCCCTGCCTCTGAGCATGCCTGAGCTACACTCCATGGACACAGGTGTGCCCTGTGCCCTGGGTTCCCAATGGGTAGAGTGCTTAACTACCTGAGAGAAGCCAGCTGGTAGCTGATTACCTAGGAACCCAACACCCAGAAGGAGCCTGACTGGTTTCTGAACCAGTGTGGCAATAACCAATTCCTTCATCTTTGGGTGGCCACTCCCAGAATCATTTCCTGCCTGCCTGCCTTTAGCAGCCCTGAGGTACTGCAGTCCACTCCCTCTGTGGTCAGGGAAACCCTGTGGCTTGATACTGAGTCCCTTTCCTTGGCAGGCTCTGTGGTGTGCGGTGGGGCAGGAATGGGATGTGAATGCTGCGTCAGGCCCTGGCCTCAGAGAAGGGCACTGGGGAGGGCGACAAGCAGTGAAAGTAGTTTTACGGGCATTTCCCAGAGCTCAGTGTGTTCAAGTGTTACTGGGTGTTTGCTTGGTGATAGCCACGGAGGTGGTCAATGCAGGTGACTGTACAAGGCGAGGCCTGGGCTTCTGCTCTTCCAGTACCTGTTTGTTTGTGGAGGTGTTTATCTTTGGCTGGATCCTTGTTTTGGTTTCCTCACCACGGCATCTCCGCTATTTGAAACCCTGAACAAGCACAGATGCTGTGGGCCAACTTTAGATGAGTGGTTAACACTTCCCATGGAGGGATGTCGGCTGGAGGATCTGGTACCTGTGAACCAGCCCATGAAGCTGGGGGTCAAGATACAGGAGGATATTCCAGGGAGAGAAGGCCATTAACAGTGTTAGGAAGGAGAGGAAAAGTTGGGCACGTGACAAGCAGTTCACTGGGATGTGAGCCTGGAGATAACCAGAAGTGAAGGTCGCAGTCCGTGGATGAGCAAGGAAAGCTTGGAGCACAGGGGGAATTCTACAGCTTAGTTGAGCTGGGTGTATGGGTGCCAGGAAGCTTCCCCAATGATCCGAGCTGCTGTGGAACTTTTGCTTTCCGCTTCTCTGTTTCCCCTCCTTTCACACCTTGCACTCGGGGAAGCTTTTCTGCAAATGTTGCTAAGTGACTTCCAGACAGCCCGGCCCTGCTGCTTTGGGTATCCTGAGGAGGCTTGGGGGAGGGTGGTTCTTCTTGTTTGCATGCAGGTCAGATATTGTTCTGGTCAGTTGCAGAGACTGGCCGGGGCAGATTCTTCAGCAGGAGACCTGGACTGCATGTTTACTAGATGAAATGTGTTTTGCAGCAAGGACCTGTCACTTGGGATGAGAACTCTCAGCTGTGACAGCACACTGATTCATGTCTGTGTGTCAGGCTCCACTCCCTGACACATGGGCGGTGACCTTCAGGAACCAGTGTTTCTGATAAAGCCTGAGCAAACACTGCTTGTAGGCTGGATGACTGGGGAGGGCTGGGGAGGCTGAGAGGGAGAGAGTTCCATGCAGGTTTCTTTTTCTGTTTCCAAATCTCCTTTTAAAGTAGTTCAAAGGTCAAGAGTGGATTAGAGATGACCACCCCAAAATGATAAGAGTTCACTGGAGGAGGTTAAGGAGATGGCTTAGTAGGTAAGAGAGTTTGCCATACAAGCTTGAGGCCCCGAGTTTAACAAACAAGCAAGCAAGCAAACAAACAAACCCAAAATAACTCCAGAGCCCATAAAAAGCCAGGTATAGCCATGACCCCAGTGCTGGAAGATGGGGACAGGTGGACCTTGGGAATTAGATGGCCAAACCAATTCTATCCCTAGGGAATAGGGTGGAAAGTGATGAAGGAGGACATCAAGTGTCCTTTTCTGATTTCCGCTGGTGTGCAACCCCCTCCCCTGCAGAGTGATCCCACATAAAAAGCCAGGCGTGGTAGCAGGTGCCTGTAACCCCAGCATTAAGGTTGTGGGGATGCCAGACAGGAGGCTCTCTGGGCCACATACACTTAAAGTCTTTCCCTGTGCATAATAAAAGCTAACTCATTATAAATTTTTTGAGTCAAGGCCAGCCTGAGTTATACAGTGTAGCAAGGCTTTCATTAAAACAACAAACAAACAAAGCAAAGCCTGTGATATAGGGATTGATTGTGATCCAGTTAAGGGAGAGAAACACAGTGATTAGATAAGGACATTTTTTTTTTCACTATGTCTGGTGCCTTTTGATCATTGTTCCATTTAAAAATGTCAGCTCCAATCTCATCTTCTCTTAACACCCCAGAAAATACCCATTGTGGCGTCAGAACTTACAAAGGCTGGTGCTGGAAACAGATTCAAGAGGCTGGGCTTTTTAGTGTTTTTAGATGACAGGTCACTTCGGTGTTTTAATTAGTCACCACCGTCAACCACTTACTTGGCCTCACTCTCGTGGTACCCAGATGGCTCACTGCCCCTGTCACAACCATTTAGACGTCTTTTGATCTACTGAGCTGTTTGAGTTATGGGAAAGTGTTTGCTCTGTTTCTTTGAGGGAAGCTTAGCTGTGAATAAATTCCCGGGTTTGATGAGTCACTATACATACTGTTGAACACCTACTATGTGCAGACGTAAGGGCCACTTACTGCGGCCATGTGATGGCTGCTTTGGAAATACTTGCTGAATGTTAACCATTCGAGTGTTTGTTTAATCATTCAGCCTTGCAAAGCTGTTACAGCTGGATGCTGGAAGAGAAATGTGAGGCTTGGAGAGGATTAGGAGCAAGCCTCCCAAACACAGCTAATAGCTTCACAAATCCAAAGCACCAAGGTGCGTTTGTGTGGGGCAGGTCTGACTCTGTGACTTGGCTGTCTGTCCTTGTTCTTTGTGGGGGAGGGGCACTTGGTATTCTTGAGACTGCTCTTTCCTTTCGGGTGAGGGGGCAGACAGGGCCTTGGGGACAGCCCAGATGTGGTAGAGCCATCTGCCCAGGTTCACTCTCTTCTCTGTAGAGTGCTGTGTCCAGCAGGTGATGGTGCTTTTCAGGTGCCTGAGATGCCTGAGTTGGTTTTCTGTAAACCAGTCGAACTGCTGCTCCGTATGCTTTGAAAAACACTTCTCCACCCTAGGCAAAGACTTAACCCGTAGGAGCAAGCCTAGGGGCCTGGTAGCAGGAACTCCAGAAGGTTCTCACTGCTGCTGCTTGCAGTTATGGCCTATGTGCAAACGGGTTCTAATTCACATGTCCTCTGTGTTTTAGGCTTTGGACGTGGACCGGATGGTTCTCTACAAAATGAAAAAATCTGTGAAGGCAATCAATATCTCTGGGCTAGGTGAGTCCTCACTGTCCCTGGGAAGGGGGGAGGGTGTCTCATTGAAAATACTTTATTTAAAGGCCCGACTGGTCACCATGTGCAGTGAGTGCTGAGCCTCCTGAACTGAGCATACAGGCCAGCGACATTGGGACACCCACTCCAGAAATAGGCTTTATTTGCTTGTTGTCTAGTTCAGGGACAGTGCTCTGTCCTCTGTGTCCCCACTGCATGAGCCATCTCCATCAGACGGGGTGACAGAACTCCACTTGTTTCTGTCTCTCTGGGCTGTGAGTCACAGGAGAGTTCTCTCACCTTTTCTCACTTCTGTTATTTCCTGGTTTGGGAAGAAAATGAGTAAACACACAAGCACAATCCTCTGGTTACCAAGTAATATTTGACTGACTTATAAACGTACTGAAATAAAAATTCCCCCCAGAACTAGGGATAGCTCAGTTGCTGGAGGATTTGCTTAGCACCTGAAGCGAAGCCTGGGCTTGGTTCTCAGCAGCAGCTGGGGCACATGCCTGTGATGCTAGCACTCAGGAAGCAGGAGGCTCGGAAGTTCAGGGGTATCCTCAGCTACACGGTAAGTTAGAGAATAGCCTGGACTACATGAGACGCTGTCTCAAAACAAAAGAGTCCCTGGAATTTCTGGCTTAAAGTCACCAGGCTGCACAGATGGTGTGTGTGTTGGGGGGATGCCCTGCACAGATCCTATAAATAATAGGAAATATTTTTGAAAAGTCACCAAATGTCTGTGTAGTTTCTTTTCGAAGAAAGATGGCAGCCATCAGAAACCAGAGATAGTGATGGTGGTAGAGGCTTGAAAGAGACTGGTAGTTTCTGGAGCAGAAGGCTAGCCAGCATGTGGGAGAGCAGCCGTGCCAAGTGTGGGCATTTGGGTGCCTGTGTGTGGGCCTAGAAGGGCATTCAGTCCCCCCTCCCCAGGTGTCTGTACTGTGTCCCCTTTACCTTGTGGTGTCTCCTTTTAGTCAGTTATTGGACAGGAGGACAAGATGATGTCAGCAGGCTGTGGGTTGGGCTAGAAGCTCAGTGTGAGCATGGCTGTGGGGGCTGCCCTCTGCTCGAACTCTTAACTGCACAAGCCTCGATGGCGGGAGTCTGGAAGGCCACCTCCACTGGGGGTGTTTGCACTGAGCAGTGCTCTCCAGAAGAGCACAGTAGATGGAAATGAACATATGTGAGGAAGAGGATTTGCTAAGATTGGGTTATACAGTATGGTCTGTTTGGGCTAGCAATGGCCATCAACACACCCGAGAGGCTGAGGAGCAGCCAATGCTCAGTTCATGAGGCTGGATGTGGGAGCAGCCCCCATCTGCAGCTGAAAGCCTGGAGAATTCCAGGAGAGCTATTGGTCTTCAGTCTGAGGTAGAAGGCCTAAGAAGGAAGCTAGGTTCTGCTGTCAGGACGGTGCAGAGTAGGTGCACTCACAGAGGGCAAGGTGGGCAGGCCTAACACCAGTCAGCTTTTCCCTCAGACCTCCTCCACTGCCGGAAGTACACGCCCACTTTGGGAGTCCTCTCTGTTTCTCCAGGAAGTACTCTTACAGGCTTGCCCAGAGTCTCTTGGCTGATGCTGACTCCAAGGCCAGTTGAGGCAGTAGCCAGGGCTAACCTCCACAGTGCGCTCTTGAAGACTTAGGAACAGATTTACAGAAGAAGGTGTGCAAGACCTCCACAGTGTTCAAAATGCTGCTGCTGGGAATTAGAGGCAGTCTAAGTAATAATTGTGTGTGATGGGTGGGAGGCTCAGTGCTGGCAAAGAGCCCAAATGTCACTCTGGTCCCAGTCAGAGTTCTAGCAGAGGACAAGCTGATTCTTATACTTGGGTGGAGGTTCTCTGCCCTAGGCCCTGTCCTGCAGAATGCAAGGGGGACACTGATCTCTGTAGAACAGTCACTGTGGACCCTCAGCTTCCTGTGCATGGTGCTAACCTCGACAGCAAACTGCTCTTGTTATGAATGAGGAGGGCCCTGCAGGTCAGAGCCCTTCCCAAGGGATTAGAAGGATTCCCAAGGCCCTCCTGCTGGCACAGGGCGGCTGGCAAACCGGCTGCCTGACTGCCTTCCGTGTGTCTAACACCTTGTTGCTCCTCCGAGCGCACTAAGGGACGGGATGCCCAACTTTGTCGACAAATCCCAGATTTCACAAAATCATCTCAGGAGAATTTATTTTAATTTTTAAAAACTAGATTCACTTGGGCCTTTTGGGGTTTATAATTTGAAGGCTGCTATATGCATTGCATGAAAAGGGGTAGTGTAACTTGGTCAGAATGAAAAACGATTTTATCACGTGTCGAAAGGACTTTTTCTCGGAGATCAAAAGATTATCTTTTCATAAACTGAGATAAAAAGGAGTGACTGCAGCTCCTGTGCAGGGTGGTAGGCATGCCCAGAGGCCAGCCTCGTCTCCTTTGCCATTCCGACCTACACTGCTGTGCAGGAACCATAAACCCCATTCCATTACCTGTCTTCCTGGAAGCACTTTAGAAATAAAGACCAGAGGCTCTGCAGTGTCTGCCTGAGATCCAGCGGAATTCCCCCTTAGTCACACACAAGTCTGTGGATGTGAGCTCCATTCAGAACATGGGAAAGATGAGGGAGGCCATAGGAGCAATAGATTGGGGGCCGAGCCCAGTAGACGGGATTTTACTAGAACCACGGTATCAATGTGCAAATGTGGGTCATGAGGGGACCTTGCCTTGGTCTCTTCCGTGTTCAGGTGGTCCTGAGAATGCAGCTGTCATCCTTAGTGGACACTCCTGTGAGGCCCAGGCTGCCACACGTCTCCTGGGCTCAGGCCACCCATGAGTTTGCTCCCCATGCCCACGTGCCCATCTTTGATTGCCTCACCACTTCCTGATCTTGCCATGATTTGCCCCCCCCCCCCCTTGCATGCTCTGTCCAAAATGGTGCTGCCCTACCCCAGGAAGTAAGGAGCTCTGTTCACTGTCGAAAGCTCTTAACTGATGGGGCTCCCACAGTTCTTGGGGACTGTCTGGGTCTGTGGCCTCCCTGAGGTCCCATACATCCAGCTAACTGGCTGTGCACCCACCCATGGAAGGGGGAAGTCTTCCAATTTTATTATCTTGTACTGATCTGCCCCGTTGTGCCAAGTTTGAATTAATCATAAGGCTGTATGTCTAGATTTTTTTTTTTTTTTAAGTTGGAGTACTATCTTGGAATCTTTACTTGAGAACAAGTGTCGTCTGCTTGGAAAGTCACCTGAGGAGACCAGGCTTTCCTCTGATGTGGCTGACACTGGTCACAGCAGTTTATGGAGTTCCTTTGTCACTACCGTGTTGTGGCTCATGCTTCAGAATATATTTAGCAGAGAAGTCTAAGGGCGGTTTAAGTTGTTTTAGAACTGGTCAGAAATAAGTTAGGACATTCAGTGAGAGATTAAGCTGCTGGCCACCACACTTGGCTAGTTGCAAGCTAGCTTGGACAGCTTCTGCTCCAAAGGCTGTTGGTCCCCAAAGAGCTGTTCCTGGTGACTGATTGCAGTGCTTAGTGTCCTGGGATGGCTGCTTGTCCAGAAAGGGTGGTCCTTCTGCTTATGTTTGAAACAACAGTGAAAATAATTGAGCAGTTATGCCTGGCCTGCCCTGTGGCTTTTCTGGGCTCACCCTCCTAAGTCTGTCCTAATTTGTCAAGGGCTGGCCCCATATGACCTCTTTCCCCAGCCCCGTTGTGTCTGCTGGAACTTGGCTACTTTCATTGCTTTCTGGGCATGTGGTTATGGTCTGTGCCTTTCTCCACACTCTTTGGCTCCAGTTACCTGGGTGTGACCTTCCCAGCCTTCCCACCCCTATTTCAGGCTGAGACTTGACACAGCGTAAGCTTTTCTTGACTCCCATTTCCTCTTGCTTCTGTAGCGTGTGTTTCTGCCTGCCCGGCGGCCTAACGTGGCACACTTTCTTCCGATTTGCAGGTGGGAAGTGCAGCATGGGTCTCACTGTAGTAAGATCAAAGCATCTTCAAGGTTCCTTCTCTTGCCTGCTTCTTGTACAGGCCAGCAGCATTGCTTGGCTGTCAACCTCTTGTTTCTACTGAGCCAGCAAACGGCCAGTGGAGTCTTCTCACAGGTCACGCCTGAGAGTCTGCGCTGGTTATAATACCATTATGCCCACAGCTTGAGCAAGAGAAAGCGTATTGCCGTTCTGGAGACCGGAAGTCCCAGGTTAGACCACCTGGTAGCGGTAGTCAGGTTCGCTCGTGGGCTCTCCTCTTTGTTTATGGACAGTTTGCTCATTCAGAAGACTGTAGCCCTGTATCCTGTCTGGCCGGGAACATGCTGTGTAGACCAGACTGGCTGAGAACTCAGCCAGCCGCATCTGCCTCCACCTCCCATGTGCTACCACATGTGGCCGGCAGTTCTTTTCTTGGAATAAAGGAAGCAAGTTCTCTGGGGGTCTCTGCTCGTACGGCACCAATACCCTAAGGGGCCCTGCCCCCTAAAGCTAATGCGTTCCCAGTGGCTCTGTTTCTGCACGTCAACACATTGAAGGCATTTGAACTTGGGGTACAGTGCTCAGTCCCACAGCAGACACTGGGTTCTCTGCCTCCCTCCTTCACATTTAAGTACCTTAAATTAAAAAACAAATTATATTTATATGTTATTATTTTGTGTGTGGTGGGGTGGGGGCTGTGTGCCATGGTGCACATAGAATAACTTTCGGGATAATGTTCTGTTCTCTTTCCTCCATGAGGGCCTTCACAATGGAACTCAAGTTGTCAGGTTTGGTGGCATGTGCCTTTCCTTACTGAGCCATCTAACTGGGCCTCAAGCACCTCCATTATCTAGAACAATCCCATCTCAAATTGCGTAGCAAGTTTAGTTTATCTACTCATTTCCTTTTGTCGGGTGGCATACTGTGCTCATGGGTTCCAAGGGTTACAATGTGAGGGATGGGACAGTCTCCCTTCCATGTCAAACCTCTGAGCACTTCTGAGGTTGATTCACTTTAGACTTATTTGGTGAGCCCCCAATTAATTG